TATGTGTGTGTGGCAAAGGGCTGTCAGGCAGAGTGTGTGTGTTGCCTCCATCGAGTCACTAGAAATTTCAAAAAATGGCCGGGGGGTTGGAGAAGGTGGTCATGAGATACAATAGGAACCATTTTAATTCACTTCTACCTTTACAGTTTAGGAGACTGAAGTCCAGAGAGGCGATGGGAGGAGCGAAGAGGAGAGGAGAGCCGTGGTTGTGTGCCTGCTGTGAGCCACACACCTTGCTGCACAGCCTCCCTGTGAATCAGAGGTAGGTACGTGCCCATTTTCCAGATGAGCATGGAGGCTTGGAGAGATTCTATAACTTGCAGCTACAAGGTTGTTCAGCTCCAAGGAGCACATGACGTTTCCCAACTCGAGGCCAGTGCCCCCTCCGTGACATCTCAACGCATGGGAGAATGGCTTGGATAGCCCTGGCCAGGGCTGTGCTAGCTCCAGCTGGCCTCTTTTCTAGTCTTGCCACTGTCTCCAGTCCCCAAGGGCCTCTCCCACTCCTTGAGAGGCATGTCTTCTGGGAAGCATTGGATGGAGTCTTTCTTAGCCCCTGACCACTCAGCCCTTGCACGTCACATCCTAGGACCCTGAGGGACAGGCAGGAAGAGGGGCCTCCAGCAGGGAGGAGCTGGAGACAGGCTGGGCTCCCGGTGGGATCGGGAACTGTTTATTCCAGTTGTGTACCCTTGGGCACCCCTGCCCCTCTGGTCTATGAGGGCTGTGCAGTGAATGGCTGGAAAGATCCTCCCAGCTGTGATGTGGCTGTGATTCCAGGGCTGCCGGCCTCACGTGTGCCACAGGAGCATCCTGATTCTGTGGTTAAACAGTGGGAAAACGGCATCTTCAAAACCTTTCCACCTTCTCATTGCTGATTGGAAAAGCAGATTTGCTGGCAGTGGTGACGGCTGAGGGAGGGCCCCAGAAGCTCAGAGATGAGGCCGAAGGTGGCCACTGTGGGGAAATCTGACATGAGTGTGCTGTACGGAGCGACGTCTGCCTGGTCATTGCTTGGTCCTGAGCCCCAGGTCCCTACGAGGGATGTGGGGCTTGGCTGAGAACCTAAGGGAGCTCTTTCCTGGGGCAGAGGTGGGGAGGAGGCTGGGGCTGCTTTTCCAGGCAGTTGAGCAAACAGCCCTGCCCAGACTTGCCTCCAGTAAGTCCCATTGACATGAACCCCCTTGTCTGGCGTCCTTTCCTACGTCAGACTTCTGCCCTGCCCCCTCTGAGAACAGCTCGCTGGCTCCAGGCCTTAGAACACCTGCCGCCTTCCCTCCCCCGACATGGGGGCCATGGTTCCCGCTTATTGGCAAGGGGCTCAGGAGCGGCTGGAAAGGGGAGAAAGCAGTGAAGGATGGAGATCATTTGCACACCCAGACTTGTTCTGCAGAGCTGTTGTCAGGGTGCCCAGAGCGCTGAGCTCCCACCTCACCTCTCCCAGGTGTGAGAGCCGGCGGCGGCCTGCGAAGGCCAGGTGAGGGCTCCACCTCGGTGCTCCGGGCTGGGGGCCGGGATACCCACAGACCGTAAGAAAGTCAGCCCCTACTGTCTGAGGGCCGCACAAGGGATGGAGGGACCCTGTCCTCCAACTAGTGCAGGACCACTTCCTCCCAGCCTGTCTTCTCCCTACCCCCGACCAATGGGGCCAAGGTCGCTGAGCTTACCTTCAGCCCCCCACGGCTGGGTCACCAATCTCCTACCAAAGTCCAGGGTCCCAACTGGGACCGTGAGACTCTCCCCACTTCAGGGACTGGGGGAGCCACAGAGCCCTTTGGTGCATTTCTGTGTATGTCTGTGATGTTTCCTCCTATGACTCCACTCTGACCCTGCCCTGCTCCTTACCCTGGCCCATGAATGCCCGCAGGGTCAGAGGGTGCATCTCCCAGAGCATCCAGGGTCATCCCAGCCCCTAGGAAGGAGCTCCTATGTAGGGGGATGGAGGAAGGAGCCGTGCCAAGCGTGTACACATGACTTTAATAACTGCATCTATCTAGCATCTTCTGTGGTATTTTCCCATCTGTTTGCTAACTCAAGGGCTCTGTTGGGTCCTGTGAGGTGGCAGGGCAAGTGTTACCACCCTTCACCTTGTAAGTGTGGAGTCCCAGGACCTGGGAGGAGCAGGGACTTGCCTGAAGTCAAGAGCAGGCCCAGGGTGCAGGCCGGGCCTCCCTGCGCAGCCACCACTGGCTCCCTCCGCGTGTGGGTCTAGCCTGGGGCCCAGCTGTGCCCTGAGCCCACAGGGAGAGCTGGGGTGCTGAGCACCCTGTGCTGTGCCAGCCTCTGCCTCCTAGGAGCCTGGAGCTGCGGGAGGCCCTGGAACCCGATGGTTCGCAGCCAGAGGGCCTGGTGGGAGGAGGCTGGTTCAGCAGACAGGCTGCCAGCAGGTGTAAAGCGGGAACAAGGAGACTTGGTGAGCGAGCACCAGGGTGGAGGGAGCAGGGTGACGGGAACACGGTGCTGCAAAACGAGCCAGTTGGTGCAGATGCAACTATTGACTAAGTCCTGCTCTGGTCCTGCCTGCAGGTGCGGGACTTGGACAGTGAGAGAAAGCATGGGCCGCGCGTGGAGTGAAGTGAGCAGGCATTGGCAGGGGTGCGTGAGACAGGCCCACACGGTGGGTCAGTCTGCGTGGCTCCCCTTTCCCAGCTCCCCTACCCCCAGAGACCCCAACGCGCCCTCTGCTGGGATCCATCCTTTCAGACTTCTCACTGGCGTCACGGCTCATCAGCTTGGAGTCTCTCTCTCTCTCTCTCTCTGTTTCTCTCGCAGGCAGGCATCTTACCCATCCTGTCCCTGGGCTGTTACATGCCAGCGTCCTCCTCTAATTCTTGCTGCCCACCAGGCCCCCTCCATCTTCCTCCCTTCCGCCCCCTCTCCATCCCCAGCACAGCTTAACTGTGCTGCTCTGCCTGAGATTCTCCCTTCTAGCAACTCCTTGCCTTCTCAGGGTGTCACGCTCATCCCGGATCCTAACCCAGTCCTGGCCTGCAAGGCCCCTGGGGGCCTGCTGCCCTCTCAGCTCACCTGAAGGTCTCAGTCACCAAAGGTGCTCGCTGAGCCCTCCCTGCTCCACCCCCAGCAGGTGGGCAAGCAGTCACCTGGTCACCAGGTCCCTCCCAGATCTCCACATCACAACCCAGATTTTCTCCTAATGGTATTGATTTCCTCGGCCACACTACTGGGATCAAAGGCTGCCTCGGCAACTCGGCAGTTCATTAGGTCCTGGAGGTCCCAGGGGACTGGCTGCAGCTAAATATGTGAGCGGGGGGGGGGGCTCAGGCCAGGGCTGAGGGGCAGGTGTGGCGCGGAGTGCAGGACAGAGCAAGGCATCGGGCTTGGTGTGGATAAAACAGGCAGAAAGGGAGGCCCCAGACAGACCTTGCCGTGGCTGCAGTGGGAGCTAAGGCTTCAGGCCTCTCCTGGGACCAGCAGCGACCCTGTCCCACCTGATGCAGCCCCTCGCTCACGCCCATCCTCCCTGCTATCTTTCTGACTGTCCTTCCAGCAAATACCTAGCAGGCCTTGTTCTGGGCACCCGAGATGAGAGCTTCCCGAGATTATCCCTGCCCTCAAGGAGCTAGAGGAGACAGACTCAGACAGAGCAGGTTGGCTGTGTTCATTTCCGAGTGACCCCTGAGCCAGGGACTCAGACAGACCTGGGGCTGGGGCTGAGCTGGGGCAGCTGCTGGATGAGGGCATTTGGGGAAGTTTCCACAGTGCACCAGAAGAGTCACTTCCCGTGTTCCAAAGCTGTGTCACTGGCGGTCGGAGTCTACAGTCATGCGGACACTCCCCCTCCTCCTCTTCTGGAATCACTCAGTCATCCCATCAGCAGGTGTTTACTGAGCGCCTACTGTGTACCGGCACTGTGCTTGGCCCTGTTGCTCCAGTGGCGAGGATACAGACAGGTCCCCTTCCCTCTCGAGGACTCTGAGTCTGGAAGTGAACTTTTGTTTGTCAGCCTGGAACCACACCGGAGCTCTGGGATAGGGCACGCTGGCCCAGAGAAGAAACTGAAGTTTGAGTTAGGACTGTCAGGGGGCCCAAACTGAACCTCTCCTCCTCCATTGGGCAAAGGTCGACCATGCCCCTCAAATACCCTTCCCCACGGGGAACTCCAGGGAAGGGGTCTCAGGATAGAGGACAAACACTTGTTCGGTTCCTGGGTATGTCTCAGTCCTTTCCGGCTGCTCTATCAAAAACACCATAGGCGGGCTTCCCTGGTGGCGCAGTGGTTGGGAGTCCGCCTGCCGATGCAGGGGACATGGGTTCGTGCCCCGGTCCGGGAAGATCCCACATGCCATGGAGAGGCTGGGCCCGTGAGCCGTGGCCGCTGAGCCTGCGCGTCTGGAGCCTGTGCTCCGCAGCGGGAGAGGCCACAACAGTGAGAGGCCCGCGTACAGCAAAAAACAAACAAAAAAACAAAAAAACACCATAGGCTGGGTGGCTTACAAAACAATTTATTTCTCACAGTTCTGGAAGCTTGGAAGTCTAAGGTAAATATGCTGGCAGATTTGGCGTCTGGTGAGAGCCTGCTTCCTGGTTCACAGACAGCTGTTTTCTTGCCGTGTCCTCACATGGCAGAGAGGGCAAGGGAGCTCTCCGGGGTCTCTTTTATAAAAACATGTATCTCAGTCCCGAGGGCTCCACCCTCAAGTCCTCCCAAAGGCCCCACTTCCTCATACCATCATCTTGGGTGTTGAGTGTCAGGATTTCAAGATGTGAATTGAGGGGCAGGGGAAGGGGGAACATAAACATTCTGTCTACGGCACAGTGCTTCACATTTCATATCTTAAGCCTCATCAAAACCCTAAGAGATGGGCTTCCCTGCTGGCGCAGTGGTTGAGAGTCCGCCTGCCGACGCAGGGGACGCGGGTTCGTGCCCTGGTCCGGGAAGATCCCACATGCCGCGGAGCGGCTGGGCCCGTGAGCCATGGCTGTTGAGCCTGCGTGTCCGGAGCCTGTGCTCCGCGGCGGGAGAGGCCACAGCAGTGAGAGGCCCACGTACCGCAAAAAAAAAAAAACACCTAAGAGATACATATCACAATCTCAATTTACAGACCAGGAAGCTGAGGCTCAAGGGAGCAAATGATCTCATCCAAAGTTTTCATGGGCAGCGCAAAACCAGGGCTGGCTCCACAGCTCATGCTTTTCCTCAGCACCATGTTGTCTCTGAAACACACAAAACCTCCATCCTCCACTCCCGTCTGAGCACTGCAGACACACCAACACCCTGACCTCTGGGAGGATTGCTCCCACTCAAGGCTTTGAAGAAAATTATAGGGAAAGTGCCAGAGTGAACACTCGTTTCCCTTCCTTAACTTCTACATCCCTGCGTCTTCCTAGTCCTGGCAATTCCAGTCTCCCTTGTCTACACTGCTCTTGCCCCAGAAAATCCCAAGAAGGCTTCACGTGGCTCTATTTAAATCCCCTTTCAGCACTCAGAAGCGGCTCTGCTTCCCTGGTGCGCTCTAGGTCTCCATCTGGTTCGGAGGCTATTTTAATTCACCGGATGTAGATTAGCTGTGATCTGGGGCTGAGCTGCTGGAGAGATGCCTTTGTCTACAGAAGGACAATTTAAAAACTAACTCAAAGCATAGAGAACAAATAAATAAATTCCTCTTTCTGTCTCCAGCACTCTCCATCTCATTTTCACAGGTAATTGCTGAAGGATTTTGCTTCCCACAGGCTCTTGCTTGTATGGGGTGTGCAGTGCTGCAGCGTGGACCAAGGACAAGCAGCTTCTGGCCAGAAATGCCAGGTGAGGGAGAAGGCGGCTCTGTTGGGGTCAGGAGAGGGCATGTCCCAGCCCGTGGGCATGGAGCAGGGGGTGTGCCCTTCCACAGCGTGCGCTAATGTAAATGTTCCTGGGGCAGGAATCACTTCCCCCTTCTCTAATCATTGAGAAAGGGGCCTTCAGGTCTGCCCCGGCCAGAGCCCAGAGAATGGCTGATTAATTACATCAACAATGTCCTAATGTTTCGGGAGTTCGTGACCCCTGAAATCTGCTTCTGCATCACCCAGGGTGGTGGGGTGAGCGTGTCCTGGTTTGGGAGACAAAGAGGGGCCCAGAGGCGGGAGGGGAAATCTTGCAGCTCCTGAAAAGCTGTGGATTCAAAGAAGAGGAAGAGAAGAAAAAGAAGTCTGTACCTCTGCCAGTTTCTCGTCTACTCTTCCCAGTGAGCCTTGGAGGAGAGCTGCACCATCGCCCTTCATAGATGAGAAAACTCTGAGGAGGGACGTCCAGCTTCATGCAGCAAGTGCAGAAGCTTTTCAAACACGCGTCTTCTACGAGAAGTTCCGGGTCTCTCCTCTGCACCACTGCTGCCTCTTGAAGAGTTTCAAAGAGCTGGTGAGGGTTTAAATGAGCAGGGAGGGGATCTTTTCCTCTCTCCTCCTCCTTTCCTCTCCTTCCCTCCGCCCCCCGCCCTGATCTCACCTGGGGCAGCTGCCCCCTCCTCTCTGGACTGTACAGGCCCCTTATCATGGTCAACAGCAGTGTTGTCCACAGTAGGTGACCAGCCTTGGTCCAGATCCATGGAGGACAGGTCTGTCCTTTCAGTGACATGGGGCTCAGGACGACATTGAGAGTGACCATCAGAAAGCAAAAACACCTCAGGAGGGCAACTCTGGGCTGAGTGTGGGGCAGTGTAGATGGGGAAGGGGGCTTACAGGTGAACCTTGAACTTGCCCTATCCAGAGTTGCCCTGTGCCAGCTGGGCGCGTGGCCTCCCCTCAGCCCAAGGTGGTGGTTCAAGGCGTTCAAGACCTTGCTTTGATATCCTGGCCTGAGAGGCCCCTATTATCTCCCCTCTTTATGGATGCGAAGGTGAGGCTCAGAGATCATATGCTAGCAAGCTGTAGATCCGGCATTTGAACCAGGCCGGCCGCATTCCAAAACTAGAATTTCTACCAGAAAAAACAATAATAACTCCAAGTAGTGTTTCTGGAGGGCTAACTCTTTCATCCTCTGTGCTAATAGCTATGCAGACAGCATCTCACGTAATCCTTAGAGGGTCCCCATCCTTCAGATAAGGAAACTGAATCTGAGAAAGGTCAATACTTTGCCATGAGTGACACACGTCTTAAGTTGAGGCCCCAAAGCCTGTGCTCTTCACCTCTAGGAAGCTGCCACTCACAAGTGGACCCCAAATAGACAAGATGGACAGCTCACACCTTATGCAGGGCATGTATAGGCACTGTTCAAGTTGAAGGGGGAGAGGAGGGAGTTTGCGGAGGGAAACTATGCCGAGTCCTCCCCTTCCTGCCCTGGGACCACCCGCTGGAGCTGGCACTCAGCACTGTGCAGCGTGCGCCTTTATCATGTATCTGCCCCATGGCTGGAAGGGAGCTCCAAGAGGGTAGGGTGGGGTCATAGCCCTTTTAGCGTCTAGCTGAGGTTTACCAAGTGTTTACAGGCGAGGAAATGGAGCCCAAATGGTTTAGGTGGGCCTGAAACCCAGAACGCTTACGTTGCCAGTGGTGACAGATCAGGTGTCTCACACAAGTTTGGAGGGGTTGCTACTTCGTAGTCCAAGGACTTTCTTTCTGAAGTCCCTCCAATCACCACACAACCATCCTTCTTTGCTTGCTCCCCATAAGTCAGTTCTGCTCCTGCCCCTGTGTTGATAAGAGCTGGGGAGAGAGGAGAAAGCAAGCTCATACCACCAAGAAGCCCAAGTTGTGACTTTTGTCTCATGATACCCATTTTGCAGGTGTCAAAACTGAGGTTCAGAGAAGGACAATGCTGCAGACTTAGTCCCCCTGAAAGGACAAGCCTCCTATACAGTGAGTGAAAAGACAGTTCCATCCTTCAAGACTTAGACCCTCCCTGGGTTCTTTCCTGTAGGAGTGAGTGGTGTGGGTCTGCAGTTTGACCGGAGGCTGTTAGGTGTCAGGATCACGCTTAAGGAAAGGAGGAGCTGCCTGGGAGAGAAGACTGGAGCTGGTGTGGTCTGTACACTGCTGATGACGCAGGAGATGAATTTAGATGGTAAAATTTTTATTGTTGCCTTCGATTTGTGGCAGGGGCTATGGCTTTCCATATATAGTAATGATGTAAGATTTAGTTTCTAAAAACATTTAAGTAAATAAAGAGAGTCAATTTAAAGGCAAGTACGAAACAATGTGGTTTGACTTTTGAGAAACTGACAAGGGGTCCTGAAAAGGTACTCCTGGCCCTGAATTTCCTCCCAGACAAGCTTGTGGCAATTCATGGACTTGGGACCAGGAATTGCCCATTTTGGGAAACCTCTGTTCAAGCCTCAGGCGGCCGGAGCTAGAAGACATTTGAAGGACCGCCTGCCTGATCCAACATTTCCTATCAGAGATGAGGAAATGGAAGCCAGGGCTGAGGTTGTAGAAGGTGTGTCAGCACACACTTTCTCAGAAGGAGCCTTGATCTGATTCGCTTTCCGTCTGAGACCCCTGGGGTGCAGGGCTGAGCCAATGGCCCAGGTTCACACCCCCAAGAGCAAGGTGGAGAAGCACAGGGTGAGGTTTTGAGCACAGTGGGCTTCAAAATGACCAAAGCAGCTTTGAAAACATACAGATGCCTGGGCCCCATTCCCAGAGATTCTGATTTGGTGCTTTAATTTGGGGGCAGCATTCAGGGAAACTGTTCTTTAAAAATCTCCCCAGCTGCCCACCCTAAACTGGACACCGAGGACCCGACATGACATTCTTAGGGAGGACAATCCTTGAGTTACCCTTTCTTCTGCATTTTCTAGGCTCCCCCAATACCTAATGCAGAGCGGGGTAGGAGAAAGGAGAGAGACGGGGAAAAAGAGAGAGAGAGAAAGGAAGGGAGGGGAAAAGAGAGAGAGCGTAAGTGAGCAAGTAATCATGGGCTTTGGACCTAGAGAGGTCCGGCTAACAGTACTGGCTGCACCACTAATATTTACAAGATGTGTTACCCAGGGCATATTTCTCAACTTTGAGACTCAGTGACTTCATAGGTAAAATGACGATAATATTCATCAGTGCCTCAATAAACTGCAGTGAGTTTTCCATGAGATGCATCATTTAAAGGGCTTAGCACAGTGCTGGGCACATGTCGTGAGCCCTCGATGAATGCTAATTCTTAGCCTCATCATCTTTATCATTACAGCCAGAGGCCAGGATGATCTTGTTGTTTAGAGGAGCCAGGGACTCAGGTGGAACATTCTTCAGGGCAGAGAAGAGTTCATTAAATTGCTCAGAATTAAGATGGGCAGGAGCTAAGGAAGAGCGGGACTTAATTCCCTGGCATACCCAGGGGAAGGGGCTTTTGGAAGAGATTTGCATTGGCTTTACTTGATTGCAATTACGCTGTCCTTCGCTGTGCTGAAAATAAGATGAAACCCTAACAAAATTCCAGGTTTAATTGAAATTTCCTGGGATCTGTTATCACATCGCCGTGATTGTTCTGTGCCACTAATGAGCTGCACTAGCCGATTATCCAAGTGCCTCTCCAGGCACTAGTCCATTATTGCATTATTAAAGGTTAGACACGATGGTCATAGCCGGCAGTGTGCGCATCAAACAGCAGAGGCAAATCAGAAAGCCTAACAGATGGACAGCGTTGGGTGGAGTGGGGCCAGTGGGCTGGGTGTGCTGGCCAACAACTTGGTACCCAGAGTAGGACGGGGAAGGGTTATGGGTGCTAGTGTGGTGAGGAACCAAACTGAGGGATAGGGGCCATGCTGGAGGGGGTGGTGGGCTGGGCATGGTGACCACTCAGAGGTCAGTATCTAGGAGCTGACGAGGGGAACCGTTGCCTATAAGTTGGTCAGTGGCTCCTAATTCTCCACTTACCTGGAGTAATAGCCAATGACTCACGATAAACATAAAGAAACAAAAACCATTTCCAGATGAACAAAGTCTTGGGGGACTGGGAAATGGGAAAAGACCAGTGTAAAGGGCAGGGGTGGGGAGAAGGCTGAAAGGGTCATTCTACCTTCACAAGCCTGGGTGTTCATTTCAAGGAGCTAATGAGCACCTTTCTCCCCAGAGCAAGGCTTACCTTGCAGTGAGAGGGTTGGTGGACCCTGGAGGGGGCAGTCATTTGTCCTGGACCCTGCAGGGAGACCTGTCTAGAGACTGGGGCTAGGCGGGATGACCTCAACAGAGCCCTCCCAGCCCAGTTTTTAACCAGTCACCTCCTGGTACCCCGGAAGTTAGAAGGGAACCTGCAGGCTGGTGCTATGAGAGAAAGTTTGAAGGGTTTTCTAGGAACTGCCAGATGCTAATAGTCTTCCCCAGAGATGGTAAAGAGCTGGGCTCCAGAGGTCTCCGTGAGCCCCAGGCCCCACCCTGCACGCCCCTCATGCGTGGGCGGTGGCCCATTTAAATCTGGAGAGCCCACAAGGCCCACAGCTGGTTTTCCTGGCCTCTGACACTGTGCACACCTCCCCCGCCCCCAACTCCCTGCCTTTCAGGAGGCGTCTTTCCCGAAAACACCAGACAGGATGAGGTCACACTAGGCACTCGGTTGTTGCCAAATTTCATTCTTCAAAGATCAGTGTTGCGCGAACATGAAATGCGAGCCAGGAACGGGGGAGAGGAGGGGGATAGACTGACGACGCGGAGGGAGAGAAACCCACGCGCAGGAGAGAAGGAATTGACATTTGAACATGGTTGTGTAATCGGAAAATTGATCCCAAGGCCGCCCCCTCCCCCAGTAACAGGCATGGGGGCCGCTGTTTCCCCGAAGCTCGTGGTGGGGCCCCCTGTTCTGTTACCCTCGCTGCCTTCATCTCGCTGTCTCCATGGCAAAGAGGCGAATGGCTGGGGGCTCCAGCAGCCATGGTTTCCCTGGCAACCCTCAGGCCCACCCTAGGTTGCACAGACTCGTTTGTCCCCGTCACTGCTGTGCTGTCGAGTTATTTCCGAGCAGCAGGGGCCCTCTGCCCACGTAGCCACCCATCGTCCCACCAGCACGCACGCGGTGCCTTCCGCGTGCTCCTGCCCCCGCGGGAGGGCTCCTGGCCGCCTGTCCACCCACCACACACATTCTGAACCTGTCCAGCTTGTAGGGGGCTGGGCTGACCGGCCAATCACAGAGACAGGCGCTTGGGGTGTGCGTGTGGAAGGCAGGGACCCCTGGGGTAGGCAGAGCCTGAACACCTCCTTCTCAATCCTCAGGGAGGACTAAACAGTAGAGGCAAGACCTCTAACTAGGAGGATGCCCTGCCCCTTCACTTCTCCCTCGAGGACCGTGCGCCAGTCAGTCACAAGGATGATGTTGAACACAATCAGAATAATCCCACCTTGCAGACCTTTCGTCCTCCTTGAGGAAGCAAAACAGTTACTATTATCATCTTCAATTTACAGAAGTGGAGGCTGAGCCCCAGAGAGAAGGTGGGCCTGTGGCTTCCCCAGCACCTACTGGACAGGTGACGGAAGAGGGGTCATCGGCCCGGGGCGCAGCCTCTGGCAGTGAATGTGCCGACCCCATAAACACACTGGAGCCCAGCACTGGCTCCAGAGCAGTGACTGTGCAGCCCAGTTGGGGGTTCCCAGAGACCAAACCTCCGGCCCCCTCCCCCGCACCAGAGGAGGACCCCCCGGGACCCCCCCACACCTTTCCTTAGAAAGGAGCATCTGTCTTGTTCTTAACCTTCTCCCAGGAACGAAATTTCACTCGACACCTGCTTTCCACATCGCCCGGTCTTTGTCAGGAAATTTAGATTTTCCAGAGTCTGTTCTTTGCCAGGTAAAGCAATTTACATATACATTGTCTCAGGTGAGCCTCACCACTGGACCTGCAGGGCTGGGAGGGCAGGACTAGACCCATTTCACCAGGAAATGGAGGCTTGGGCGCTTGGGCTGAGTCAGTTCCCCACAGGGACCAGCTCCCGAGGGTCAGAGCCAGGATGTGAACCCTTGATTTTAAGTCCTGCCTCCTGTCTCCCCGACAACTGGCCACAGTCCCAACAGCGGTGCAGCCGCTCTCCTGTAAGGGTGAAGTAAACAGCTCTGCAGCCCCTGGAAAACTCTGCAGCCGCCCTCTTAGGCCAGGGACCAGCCAGAAGTTCGATGGAGGAGGCCTGGCGTCGCTCCACTCGTGCCCCGCCAGCCCACTCACAGGGCCACCCCTTAGTCAGCTGCTCAGCTCACAATAAAAGATATGGAAGATTCCTCAGTCCTTGTCATCTGCCTGTCCCCACCCCTTCTGCTCTGGTCTGAAAATGTTGAGTTGATTATATTCTGTGCTCAATCACCAGAAATAATCAATCTGTAATTACGAGCATCCTCCAGCCCTTTCCGAGCCCCCACCACTGCCACCGCAACCACCACTGCCACCCCTTCACCTCCCCCTCCCACCTGCCTTTTCAGCATGGAATCGTTTCAATGAGATTTCTCTGTTACAAAAGACCAGTTTGTAATAATTATATCTTGTGCGGCAATTGTGGTTTAAAAATGATTTAAAGCAGGGAAGTCTCCAATTTATTAGGCATCAAATTCTCTGTGGTGAACTTTTTAACTGGAAGCAGCCGCTCAGACACGGAGGGGCCCATCTCTGCTACCCTGGGCTGAGCAATAGTCCTGAAATATGAATGGCTTCAGGATGGAAATGTAGCTGAGGAGATGTAACTTGGATTAAGATAAATGAATCTCGCAACAACAGCTGGGCTGTCCTGGGTGTCCCAGCCCCTCCTGGGTGGCAGAGGGAACGGGGAGCGGGCAGAGGAGAGTGAGAGGGGCTACCACCCAAAAAAGAGGAGGGATGAGGAACGCGAGCTTCTGGACTCACTGCCTGAAGCATTCCCATGCCGGACGTCTCCAAGGAGAGTCATCATGGTGTGTTTTTTTTTTACTCAGTTTTTTTTTTTTTTTTTTTGCGGTACGTGGGCCTCTCACCGTTGTGGCCTCTCCCGTTGCGGAGCACAGGCTCCGGACGCGCAGGCTCGGCGGCCACGGCTCACGGGCCCAGCCGCTCCGTGGCATGTGGGATCTTCCCGGACCGGGGCACGAACCCGTGTCCCCTGCAGCGGCAGGCGGACTCTCAACCACTGCGCCACCAGGGAAGCCGCACGGTGTGTTTTTTAAATTCTATAAAGAGCTTTGGTGGCAGCCAGAGCTGGGGAGTGTGTGGGCTTCTGACTTTAGAATGAACCTGGGTTCAAACCTGAGGCTTGCTACGTTCTGCCTGTGTTGCTAGTGCTTTGCATTTATTAACTTACAAGGGCCTCACAATCCTGCGTGTCACCTATTGTAGGTATCATCATCCCCATGGGGAAATGAAGGGGTCTGGACAGGTCAAGTGCTGCCCCAGGGCTGCACTTTAGGTGGTGGAGCTGGGTCATAGCCCCCAGACCCCTTTCCAGCCCCCAGCCCCGGCATCCTTTCCTTGGTATACATCCGTAAGTAGAAGTTCCCTGGAGGAAGCAGGACTGCCATGGTGATCGAAAATAGCAGTGTATTATTTCAAAATATAGCTAGAAAGGTTCAGGTCTGATATCAGGAAAACCACCTTGGTGCAAAAGGTATTGGAAGAAAGGAGATGGCTGAGGAAGGCTAAACAGACCCTTCGCCTTTCAGAATGTGGAAGTTTCCGTGTGTCGTGGGCACGGCCTCTTTGGGCCTGGGCTGGTGTCCAGGTTATATACCTGCCAGAGCCATCCTGGTATGGTG